ATGTAAAGGTACAATTCCCAGTGAGAAATGTAATTGTGTTTTATACCTACAATGTACCCGTAAAAGAATTTAAGAAAAAAAAAAGAGAGTATGGACAGCATTTGCATTCTCATGATCAAATTAATGAAAACAAAACAAAACAAAACAAAAAAACAAGCCCAGGGTGATAGAACCTTCACCTTGCAGAGTGCCATGCCTGGGAGGGCTGCATTGTTTTCCTCCCTTGAACTTGTTATCAACAAGAGCACTTAGTACTCTGGTAAATTTGCCCTTCAGGAGTGGCATTTAAGTTTTGGATTCCACTGTAGCTCTTGTCTAGAGTTAACTATGGCCACACCTGTGGGGACAGCTACTACCCGCTCTTGGAGAGCAGGCTGATTTCAGAGGGTGTATAGCATAAAGAACCATTCACTTCATATTATAGATAGTTAGGAAATAGGATATTTAAGTATAAAACACCCCCCTCACACACACAAATACACAAATATCCTTTCAGCATGAGCCTCAGGCTGAAGGTAGAATAATTAGGCCTTTGTGATTAGGAGGATAAAAACCTCTCACCAAGACTGATATGTGAACAATGGTGACATCAAGAAGCCATTAATACCAGTTTTGGTTGACTAAGTCTGGATTGTTTATTATACGAGAAAAATAAGCCCTGTTTTGCACAAAAATATATTTTTTCAAAGATCTCACTTCATAGAAAATACATGTCTAAGCCACAGAAGATATATTAAGGGCTTTTGCTCCTTTATTTTATTTGAGTCAGACACATTTTGAATGAGAAAATTAGTCATTATACAATTTTGTGTTCTCTTTTTAAAATCAGTGGTAACCTATAAACTGTGTTTCTTATACATCAAAATAATTTCTGCCAATGTATTAGTAGCATAGTAAATTATATATCTTTTCTACTTTTGTCTTTGTTACCTAGAAAGGCTAGGGATTTTGTTAAGATTTTTGCATCAACTTTTTCTGACAAAATTTCCATGCCAAGAAACTATTGAGAAAAGTGTGATTGGAGAAGATATTTTAAACAAATTCTCTTTTCTCCAGGGGATTCTGTAAAGGGGTCATTAAATCCTTCTAAGTTTGTTTTATTAGCAAGCAAATATAGATACCAATTGAGAGGATTATTAGGTACATGATTAATTAAATTTGTATTAAGGCCGATTAAGAAGTCACTCTTCCTGCTCATTATACCAAATCTGGAATTGAGCATTATATTTAGACTTCCTGTTTTAATCTCCTGGGGGTATCACATAGATGCTCTGTGTTCAGAAAAACTGTTTGTCACTAGATTTCTTTTTGTCCTATCACCATCAACAGGCAATGGGAATCTGGACATGAGAAAAAAGGGGAAAGAATCAAAAGTGGATTGGGAAGGAGTCTTCACATCAGGGTTACGAGGGTTTCTTTGCCTCTGTGTAACACTATTGTTGTTTGCTACTTTATGCCAAAAAAGCTATATGAATTTTTCTTTATATTGACTGATCCTTTTTCACTGACTGAACCGCATTGACCGATGTTTTCATTTCTCTGGATACACGACTGAAGAGGTTTATGTCTGCTTAGGCCACTTTGAACTACTCCCAGGGTCTGCGCTTGTCTCTTCTGAAGCTCCAGATACTTACTCCTTCTCTACGTGTTACTAAGTGTGGCTTTCAGAGAGAACTTCAAGTGGGGAGAGTTGTGGCAGGAGTGGGGGTGGGGCACAAAGGAGGAATGAAAGGCTGCAAACTATCACTGAGCTGTTTTTCTATTTTGTAACCCCATTTTGACTTTTTTCATGAAGACACTTGTTTGCAAGGGCTACATTATTTTTTTTAATTTTTATTTTATTGGTACATTTTAGGTATACAATGTAATGACTCATTATTAGAAATTTGCACCTTTACATAGTCTCTCTTGGTTCTTATTTTTCCCCCTTCCACTGCCCTCCCTTCAACCCCTCCACCCCTCCCGATTTACAAAGACTTTGTTTCCATTTTTTCATTTTCTCATATTAATTCCATTCCCTTCTTTCCTTTCCCCTAGCCCT